CTATCTATAGATTTTTTAAAGAAAATATATTTTGAAATAAGACTTTTTCAAATGTATTTTGAAATCAATACTTTTAAAAACAGTTTTGTTGGTGGCATAGTTAATATGAAATATTTTAATATTATATATATTTAAGGTGGATAATTTGATATATTTAGCATATGTATACACCTGTGAAACTATTGCTACAATCAAGATAATGAACATATCCATCACCCTCAAAGGTTTCCTTGTGCTCCTTTGGAATTCCTTCCTCCACCTCATGTCACCTGACTATTACTGATCTGCTTTTTGCCATTTTTTATTAGCTTTAATTTTCTGGAAATTTATGTAAATGTAATTATACTGTAAATGCTCTTTTTTGGTCTAAATTCATTCTCTCAGCATAATTGTTTTGCAGTTCATCCATGTTGTAGTTTGTGTCAATAATCTATTCTTTTTTATTGCTGAATAGTATTTCGCTGTAATGGTAACACCATAGTTTGTGTATATATGAACCTTTTGAAATTGGGGATTATTACCAGTTTGGGGTCATGGAAAATACAACTGCCATAAATATTCTTCTCCCAGTGTTTCTATGGACATATGCTTCCATTTTTCTTGAATAAATAGATGAAAGTGAAATGTCTACATCATATGATAGATGTATAATTATCTACGTGAGTAATCTGTCACACTGTTTTTCAAAGTGGTTGTATCATATCCATGTCCTCACCAGCACTTGCTACAGTCAATCTTTTTAATTTTAATCTTGTAAATAGATATGCTATTGTAGTTTTCTTTTTCTTTTTCTTTTTCTTTTTTTTTTTTTGAGACAGAGTCTCACTTTGTTGCCCTCAGTACAGTGCTATGGTATCATAGCTCACAGCAACCTCAAACTCTGGGGCTCAAGCAATTCTCTTGTGTCAGCCTCCCAAGTAGCTGGGACTACAGGTGCCCCTCACAATGCCTAGCTATTTTTAGAGACAAGGTCTAGCTCTGGCTCAGGTTGGTCTTGAACCTGTGAGCTCAGGCAATCTATGCCTGCTAGGATTACAGGCGTGAGCCATCAAGTCTGGTCTGGTATTGTAGTTTTACTTAACATTTTCCTAATGACTAAGGATGTAGAGAATTTTTAAATATACTTAATTGTTATCTGTATATCTTCTTTGGTAAATTTTCTGTTCAAATATTTTACTCAGTTTTTTGGTTGTCATTTTTCTTTTATTGAGTTTTAAGAGTTCTTTATATTTTCTGAATTAAAGTATCTTCTTTATTTGTTTTGTTAATATTTTCTCTTAGTATATGGCTTGTTTTTTCATTCTCTTAGTGTTGTCAGAGAGTAGAAATTAAAAATTGTGACATAATTCAGTGTATTAACTTATTTACCTTATTTATGTATTGTGCCTTTTGTATCATGTATAAAAAATATTTACCTAATCCAAAGTCATGTAGACTTTTTTCTTATAGTTTTTACCTTTAGTTCTGTGATCTATTGTAACTTAATTTTTGTATCTGGTATAGGATATAGAACAAAACTTCATTTTTTTGGCATATGAATAATTCATTGTTCCACCACCATTTGTCAGAAAGAAATATCTATATTTATTCTCCACACAATAGCCTTTGTATCTTCATTGAAAATCAGTGGTCTATATATCTGTGAGCATTTATAGAGTTTAACTTATAATGGATAAGAGGCTTAAGCTTAAGGCAGAAAACTATAAGAATTCTCAAAGAAAATGTTGCAAAAACTCTTATAGATATCAGGTTAGACAAAGAATTCATGAACAAGACCCCCAAAGCAATTGTAGCAACAACAAAAATAAATAAATGGGACCTGATCAAATTAAAAAGCTTCTGCATAGCCAAGGACACAAAGAGCACATAGACAACCCACAGAATGGGAGAAAATAGGTTCATCCTTCATCATCTGATAAAGGATGATGTCTAGAATCCACAAAGAACTCAAACAAATCAGCATGAAACAACCCAACAAACCTATTAAAGAGTGGGCAAAAGATATAAATAGGAACTTTTCAAATGGAGATATATGAATGGGCAACAAACTCATGAAAAAGTGCTCAATGCCTTTAATCCAGGAGTCCTCAAACCATGGCCCACAAGCCACATGCAACATGTCTAGGACATTTATCTGGCCTGCTGGGTGTTTTTGCCGCCACTGCCTGTCCTGCAGGGTCCCAGGGCCCACAGTCCAGCCCTCCAATGGTCTGAGGGACAGTGAACTGGCCCCCTGTTTAAAAAGTGTGAGGACCCCTGCTAGGGAAATGCAAATCAAAACCACACTGAGATATCACCTAATTCCAATGAGGATGGCTCATATTAAAAAGTCCCAAAGCAATAGATGCTAGTGTAGATGTGGAGAGAAAGGAACTCTTCTTCATTGTTGGTGGGACTGTAAACTAGTACAACCTCTGGGGAAAGTTGTATGGAGATTCCTCAATGAACTTAAAGTAGAGTTTCCATTTAAGCTGGCAATCCCAATGCTGGGTATGTACCCTAAGGAAAAAAGGTCATTTTATAAAAGTACATTTGCACTTGAATATTTATAGCAGCACAGTTCACAGTCACAAAGACATGAAAACAACCCAAGTGGCCACCAATACATGCATGGATTAAAAAAATTGTGATATATGCATACCATGGAGTACTAGTCAGCCATAAAAAAGAAATAGCAATCTAGTATCTTTTTTGACAACCTGGATGAAGCTGGAAATGATTCTTCTACGAGGAACATCACAAGAATGGAGAAACAAACACATGTACTCAACACCAAACTGGAACTAATTCATCAATACAGTGCACACTACCTGGATGAAGGGCACACTTACAATTTTTATTCAATCTGTACAAAAACAAAATATGTAAATAAAGCATAATGTATTCCCTAATATCCTGAAATAAAAATAAATTGTAAAAATGGAAAAACATAATTATGAATTTAATTTCTAGGCTTCCTAATTCATTTTATATCTGCGTCTTATACTTTGTATCTGCACATTACTTTTTCAAACACTTCTACTTTTTGAAAAACATTTCTGTCAAAATAATATATCTATGTAGTGTAAAGAATCAAATAAGTCTACAAAAGTTGTTTTAGGAAAATAGTAGCAATATTCTGCCTCTTGTTCACATTTCTTTTACTCATAGGGAATTATTTTTTTCTAGCTATTTGTTTTATTTAATTTTTATATAGCATACTGTATTACTACTTCTTGATCCTCAGTTTAGGCATGGTCTATTCAATTTTCATTTTGAATGAAATGGTGGATGAGGCATTGATTAATTACCTTTTCTCCCCCATGGCAAATATATATGCACGCACTCTCCTCAGCATGTTTTCTCAGTATAATTTATAGTTATTTTGTTTACAGCAGTCTTCATTGTTTTGTTATTATAAGTTTAAAAATGCAATGAAGTAATCTATGACCATTGCTAGTGTTCCCTGGACTTAAAACTTTTCTTTTTTGCAAGGGAAGGGCTTAGTTTTCTAGGCATAACATCACCAGCTCCAAACATTGCCAACTGCACGTCTTCATATATTCAGACATATTGGGTAATCTATCAATTTCACCATTCTGAAAAAACTTCTCTTAAGCTTTTTATGGATTCCCATATGAGCACACTGCCATCTATTACTGTTAAAGAAAGAACATTCCAGGATCACTGTCACCTTAAGTTTAGGATCCCCTCAGGCTCTAAATTTCCTGTTGTCAATATTTTCTTTCTTAGTTTACTCTATCAGTTTGGTGGAATATAGTCTCTGATAACTTCGAGAGAAAAAATTTTCAGGAGATAAATTTAAGAGTTCTTGTATGTCTAAAATACTCTTTCTTCTACCCTCACACTTAATTGATAGTCTCTTTGGATATATATGTCTAGGTGGTAAATCTTTTTTACACAGTCATAAATTATTCCTTGTGATGAGGAAGTAAAACACCACCAGTAGAGTGTATTTTTTTTAATTATAAAAATTATTTTTTTATGTTCTTGTCATGCATCTTATTGTGTAGGAAGTAGTCATAGGCATTTCTGAAACGAAGTGCTATCACATGCTCTGTTCAAAGGCAAAGTACCATAGGTAAAGCTGATCTGCTGTCCGGAGTTCTCAGCTTATGGAATTCTGCTTCCTGATTTTATATTGATTTCTGAAAATCAGAAATGTTATCTCCAAACAAGGTTAATAGGGTTGTAAAAAATGGTTTCATTCTGGGCAGTGCCTGTGGCTCAAAATGGTTTCATTCTGGGCGGTGCCTGGGCGGCCCCATATGCCAGAGGTGGTGGGTTCAAACCAGCCCTGGCCAAAAAAAAAAAAGTTTCATTCAATATTATAGTTATAGATATGGAGTATAATTTAAGAAATAAAAAACTAAGAATAAAATGCCACTTAACATCCTTAGTACATCAGTATAGGTCTACAGGAGAAAAAACTGGGATAAACTTGTGTTTGATATGAAGAAGAAATTCTAGTCCAAGCTTGAACACACTTCACTAGATATTTCCTTTACTGCAGCTCTTCATTCTTTCCACATTTTATATAAAGGGCTGGTACAGCCTTTAAAACTTCATTAACAGGAGCAAAGCCAGTATCCATTGATTTCTTCTCAAAAGGCATCGGATAGACTGGCAGTTTCATTCTCATGTGTACTCTAGTCATGAAAAAACTTAATAGGACACAGATGAATAGAATGAATAGAAGAAGAAATCTATTGAGTTTTGGGATATTTGATGCATTGGATTATAAAACCTAAACATCCCAGTATAAACAAGAAGCTGGATCCAAGTCTTCCATAACATATTGTCCATTTACTCTGCAGGCCAAGAAAGCTACTGACTTCTGATGCCCATGTTTGTCTGTCATAGAGCCAACACATGGAGGTTCAACAAAAACATCGTAAATTATTCCTTATGATGAGGAAGTAAACCACCACCAGTACCATCATGGCGACGGCATGGGCAACCAGGGCAGCTTTTTCAGCTTTAGGTTGGGAAATTTGAGAAAAAATACAGAATGTTTCATGAATTTGTGTGTCATCCTTGCTTGGGGCCATGCTAATCTTCTCTGTATCATTCCAATTTTAGTATATGTGTTACGGAAATGAACACTCTTATTACTTCTAAAAAGCATTTCTCTATTGTCTCCTTGATTCCATTGTTGCTTATGAACATTTGGAGATCACTTTAATTCCTAAATTTTTACATTTGACTTATTTTTTCCTATCTTAAATCTGTCAACCAGCCTTCTATATCTTAGCACAATTTCCCTGCTTTTGTTTCCAGGGGTAATTTTTGTACTATTTTGTAATGTCTCAGAAGTTTCGTGATGTAAACTAGGTTGGTATTGACCTTCTCCAGTGGTAGGTTAGGGTTTAGTTTTCTCAGATCTGTAGTTTTCTTTTGTTCAATGGTTTTTTAGCTTTAAATATTTCCTACTCTCCTATTCTTCCCATTTTTGTGAATCTTTGCCTTAAATATTTCCACTCCTTTAATCAAAATTTCAAAATGAGCCCCAAGATATGTATACTTAATTAGGGATGTTTGCCTAGCAACATCCTGCTTTAAAAAATTGTCTTTTATACATAACATATATAGAGGATGCCAAAAATGTATATACATTTTAAGTAAAAAACCATATTCAAATTATAATATTCAATATATGCCAATAACAAAAGATGAATGCAAGTCACAATGAGCACCTCTTGTAATTGCAGAAGTCAAATGTGACCTGAGCTTTACAAATTTAATACTTTTATTCACTTTTATTAATTCTAATAGTTTCAGATTATCTTGGATTTTTCATGTATGAATTCATATTATTTGTAAATAAAGGCTATGTTTTCCTATTTTCTAATCCTTCTTCCTTTTGTGACTTTTGTTTCTCCTTTTCTTGGGCATTGACTAGGGTCTCCAGTACCATGTTGAGAATACATGATGGTACATACTCTTGTTCTTAAAACATTATTGTTTGTCACTACTGAGGGGATGGTGCCCCTGGCACCAGCTTGGTAGGGCCTAGGGATGCTGTAAAACATTCTGTATTGCCCAGGCCATGCTCTCACAACAAGTGATTATCCAACTTAAAATATCAATAATGTTGAGGTTGGGAAACCTGGATGGCAGGGACAGCAGACTACCATCTCATACTTCACATGGCTGTGAATCTTCATAACATTGGTCCATAATTGTTAGGAAAAGAGATTAGATTATGATCCACACACATGAAATGCAACGTATTCTGAAAGATTTATGCAAAAATGGTCAAGATTTGAAACAACATAGGATTTAAAGGCAAGTTTCAATGGTTTAAGGAAATTAGCTTATATGGAAGAGCTTATTTCCAAATAGTGCCAAACACATGAACTATTACAGAAAGGCAAGACCTCGTTACAATTTTTATTAATATATTGTTCAGTAACAATTAAAAAAACATTTTTGGCTTACTGGTTTGATATTTGCACAAAGAGATTATTTTTTAAAAAGTTTCTAAGACAAACTGTGGTTTGGACTTCAGGGCCCCAGAGAACATTTTTTTTTTCTCTTTACACAATAGTCAGCCCCAACCTCAACAGCATCTGGCTGTCAGCTGGGAGCTCATTCTGAAAGGGCTCCTCCTACAGACCAATCATCTCTTTTGCCTTCAGAACTAGGGCCCAGTCAGCTGGGGCATGAAAGCGCCAACTAAATTTAGTGTAATTGAGACAGGGGTTTGAGGAATTTGCCTAATTAGGATGGGTGAGGGGAAGAAGGGTGGCATGGAGGGAAATTATGCAGAAGTTCAGGAAAGGATAAAATGTGGTGGAAATAAAATGAATAAGCAACAACATCTGTAAATTGATTGAAAAAAGACTACAATTGAAAGTGCATCTGGAGAAGAGAAAACAGATCCCAGATTGCCACAGATCTGAAAATCAGGAGCCTAGAGAAAGAAAGTTCTATTATGACACGCACCAGGAAGCAGACAAACTTGGCTTGGCTTCTTGACCAAGAAATCTCTATCTGTATTTTACCATGCCTTTCAGAGCCATGAAATAGGTGCAGGAAGGAAGCCCAAAGAGCCAGATATTCCGGTGGTAAGAAACGAAGGCCTGGCTGTCTTAAAATACAGAAAGATGTGGAGTTGAGTGAAGATGATCTCTGTAACTGATGGGTCATTTGTCAGGCAGAAATAAGCAAATTTCATTGCCTCTTTAATCATGGCATTTCTGTCTTCACATTCAGCTCAGCTCCTAAATGAAATACTTTGTGAAGTCTTGGGTCATGACATCACCAAGATGTTCAGATAACACTGGCTTGTGATGTGGCATAAGAGAACATCTTTCTCAGTGTATTCATAAATTAATACTGAATAATAGTCCCATCGGCACTGCTGGTGATAAATCATGCTATCATCACACTCTGCAGTCATTCAGAGACAATCATAATTTTCCCTATTCATCTACAGGATGAAGCGACCCTAGCATTGTCCACCGGCTCCAATAGCCTTTTTGAAGTCATGGAGGAATGAATGTGAAATGCAAGCTTGAGATACAAAGTGAGTCTGTCATGTCAAATTTCCAGTGGTGAGGAGGTGAAGACCACCAGAGCGGAAGGCTGGTATTTCTTGTGGCGACTCAAAATCAAATCAGAATGCCTTTCATTGTTAGTAACATGGTAGTACTACGTGTCAGGAACTGGCCATATTACTCAGAAAGCTCGCTGATGTCTTCCTGTTACAGTTTTTTGATTCTTCCTTGTTTACAATGTCTCTTCCTTTAAGTTCTTTTAGAAGAGGACTCTTGGCCCACTTAGTAATGCTGAACCTTCAAGTTTAAAGGAAGAATACTATTCTGTGCTCCACTATGCTCCACTATTCTGTGCTCTACTAACCTATGGAGAAGAGGAGGGCAGAAAAATCACCTATTCATAAGGCATTTTGCCTCTCAGGACAAATATGACACACTGTGTTGCAGATTGAATTGTGATTCCCCTAAGTCAATATGTTGAAGGCCTAACCCCTAGCACCCCAGAATATAACCACATTTGGAAATAGGGACTACAAAGAGGTAGTTAAGTTAAAGTGAGGTCATTAGGGGGGCTTCTAATACAATATGACTGGTGTTCCTATGAAAAGATTTAGGACACAGATACACAATAAAAGATAATATGAAGACACAGTAGTAAGAAGATGGCCATCAACAAGTACCCTGACTTCTAGCCTCTAAAACTGTGAGATAAAAAAAAATTTCTGTTATTTAAGCCACCCACTCTGTAGTACTTTGTTATGGCAGTCCTAGAAAAGTAATATGCTCACATATACCTTGATATATATTTCTGGATAAATAAATATAAATGGACTATTAGACAAATACTTTTTAAAACACCAAATATGTGTCCTGATGTTTACACTGAGTGCTGTGAAGAAAACAAAGGACAATACCCAAACTGCCTCTACAAATTTTCTTCACATGAAATGGACAGAGAGAAAATCATCAGTCACAATACACAGAGTGTATATAAAGTTCATGTGCAATTTAGAATAGTTTAACATAGTTCGTTGCACACAAACTTTATGTCCATGCTGTATATGTCCCAAATCGAGTTTACAGAATCAGACCCTCGCACAGAGATTGGAATGTACAGAAGTTATATGGGAGGTGTTTCCAGGAAACTGAGGTAGGAGGATGGGGAATTGAAGCAGAAAACTTGAGTTGAAAAGTAGGCTACCACTATGGACACCTGTGTCTGAATCTCTCTGGTCCCATCACTGGGATCACCCCCACTGTGGAAGAACACAGAACATGCTTCAGAGTAATTGCTTTTATTATTATTATTAAATCATAGCTGTGTACATTAAGGCAATTATTGGATACAATGTTCTGGGTTTATATACAATTTGAAATACTTTCATCAAACTGGTTAACATAGCCTTCACTGCATTTTCTTAGTTATTATGTTAAGACATTTATATTCTACACTTAGTAGATTTAACATGTACCTTGTAAAATGCACCATAGGTGTGGTCCTACCAATTGTCTTGCCTCCACCTAGCCTCCTCCCTCCCCTCCTCCTCTTTCCCCTTTATCTTGGGCTATAGTTGGGTTATAACATTTATATGGAAGTGTGGGTGTTATAAAATGGTTTCATAGTAGAGCTGAGAACATTGGATACTTTTTCTTCCATTCTTGAGATACTTTGCTAAGAAGAATATGTTCCAGCTCCATCCATGTAAACATAAAAGAGGTAAAGCCTCCATCTTTTTTGAGGCTGCATAATATTCCATGGTGTTCATATACCACAATTTATTAATCCATTCATGGGTCAATGGGCACTTGGGCTTCTTCCATGACTTAGCAATTATGAATTGGGCTGCAATAAACATTCTGGTGCAAATATCTTTGTTATAAAGTGATTATTACACCACATTAGTAGGTCTTCTGGATATATACCTACTAGAGGAATTGAAGGATTGAATGGCAGGTCCAGTTTTAGATCCCTAAGTGATCTCCAAACATCTTTCTAAAAGGAACATGTTAGTTTGCATTCCCACCAGCAGTGCAGAAGTGTTCCCTTTTCTCCACATCCATGCCAACATCTCTGGTTTGGGGATTTTGTGATGTGGGCTAATCTTACTGGACTTAGATGATATCTTAAAGTGGTTTTGATTTGCTTTTCTCCGATGCTTAAGGATGATGAGCATTTTTTCATGTGTCTGTAGGCCGTGCACCTGTCTTCTTCAGAGAAGTTTCTCTTCAAGTCACTTGCCCACCCTGAGATGGGATCACTTGTTTTTTTTTCTTGCTAATACATTTGAGTTCTTTGTGGATTCTGGTTATTAAACCTTTATCAGAGACATAACCTGCAAATACCTTCTCCCATTCTGAGGGCTGTCTGTTTGCTTGACATACTGTGTTCTTGGCTATGCAGAAACTTTTTAGTGTGATCGGATCCCAGTAGTGTATTTTTGGTGTTGCTTCAATTGTCTCGGCGGTCCTCCTCATAAAATATTCTCCCAGGCTAATTTCTTCAAGTATTTTCCCTGCAGTCTCTTCTAGTATTTTTATAATTTCATCTCTTAAGTTTAAATCTTTTATTCAGTGAGAGTCTATCTTTGTTAATGGTGAAAGGTG